GCTTGGAAATGCCCAGACTTTTTTGCGATCCCTCCTCCTCGGTAGCGCCTTTCGTCATCTCACAGCCGCCGTGTTGAACGCCGTAAAAATAGTCGGAGCGATAATAATGTCGGGGGGAACGAGACAGAACTAGAAAGCAGATGTCATCCTGTCGCCTGCAGCTGCAGCCGCTGCTGCTGATGCGGACCAAAAGTACTCTCGGGGGAATCAGATTATTATTGTTTCTTGTTTCTGAAAGTGTGAAAAATCGTACGGCCCCTGGCGGACAGGTGAGAGAGCGATCAGCAGCGGGTGGAGGAAGGAACAGGGAGGGGGGGGGGCATTGTCGCTAAGTGCCTGCAAGAATGTTACCTCACCCCCGCCCCGCCACTTCTGAAATCTCCCCTCTCTGTCTTTCTGGTTCTCTGTCTTTCTCTCTGGTTCTCTCTGCTTCTCTCCCTTTCTCTCTGCTTCTCTCTTTCTCTCTCTCTGGTTCTCTCTCTTTCTCTCTGCTTCTCTCTCTTTCTCTCTGCTTCTCTCTCTTTCTCTCTGCTTCTCTCTTACTCCCTGCTTCTCTCCCTCCCTCTCTCCCTCCCTCTCTCTCTCTCCCTCCCTCTCTCTCTCCCTCCCTGCTTCTCTCTCTTTCTCTCTGCTTCTCTCTTACTCCCTGCTTCTCTCCCTCCTCTCTCTCTCCCTCCCTTCCTCTCTCTCTCTCTCTCTCTCTCTCTCTCTCTCCCTCTCCCTCTCCCTCCCCGCCCCCTCACACACGGTCACTGTGTGCGTTTTAATCACATTTCCGCCACGCGTCCGTCACGGCAGTCATTACGATGTCCTCTGCTCTATTATAATTTTTTCGACCGCCTCTGGTGAGAGAAGCTTCGAGGAAACATCATTGTAATGCGGATTTTCCCAGACGAGCACGGCAGTGGCTGCAGCAGGGCTCTAGCCGAGCCGAAGCGCCGCGCCGTCGTCGTCGTTTTTGACGAAGCGGCTGATTATGATGACGACATTCGTCTTGTTCACTGAATGGAAAAGGTATGAAGGAGCAGGGAGCGAATTGCGGGGGGTACGCAGATAGAGGGCAGGTGAGGGGGAAGGTAGAGACAAAAGGAGTGAATCAGACAGTGAAAGGATGAAACAAAACGGAGCGCGCGCGGGCTTTTTGGTCATTTCGGAAATAAGTGAAAGATGGGGGAGCAGCAGAGAGATGTGGGCAAGGGAAAGGCGCGAGATGGGCAGAGATGGGGCGACGCCGAGGGTAGTCGCGCATGCTGTTGGGGCTTCCCCTCGGCCGGCCGAGTCCTTTCCCCCGCTAGAGAGGCCCGGTCCACACGCAGCGCGCGCCGCCGACTGACTGCAGCCGCCAGCAGCAGCGACAACATCAACGACAACAACAACAACTTTGTACGGGGGACACGGCAGCGCTCCCCCCGCGCACGCTCGCCATGTGCGCGGGGCGCATCCGCACCGGCAGTCGTTCACATCACAGCCAAAAAAGGTTCTCGCAGCATGGTTCCCATAAGGCTTTGCAAAATTGATAATATTTGTAAACAAGAAACCAAAATAAACTCTTCGTAATGCCATCGATGCGAAATTAGCTAAAAATCAGCTGATTGCCTGAATTTATTGTTTGTCTCAGAGAACCCGTAAGGTTTAGCAAAATTTGTAATATTATAAAGTGAGCAGAATATACTGCTATTCACAAAATCATCGACGCAAAATTAGTTGCAAATGAACAGATTGCTTGAATTTACTGCTTGTCATAGAGAACCATATTGCTGGGAGATAATTGGTGCGCAATAGAGGCAGCTGATCTCGGAGAGACGTCTGTCTGATGTCAGCCGGCTATGGCTGCCGTCAGAGCTGAATCACGTCGGAGAAGCCCAAGCCGTGTGGGAGGGGCTGTGAGCGTGCCCCTGAGCGGTACTGTGGCGGTCATCTGGGGCTCCTGGAACGGCTCGCCGATCCAAGGACATGCCGTGCGCAAGCAGAGTACCGTCCGCGGCGGGGGCGTGTCCAGGGATTATGGGGGGGCGGGGGGCAGGCGCGGAAAATTGAAAGAGGAGAGGGACGGGGGGAGCCCTCCTCTCTCCATCCGGCCTGCTAGCCTAGCGTAGCCTAGCGATACGGACGCACATCGTTGAGATTTAAGTTTATTTGGAAAAGATATTTGAAATAATACTAGAAGGAGATGGCATGGTTTTTTTTTAACCAACATTTTTCTTTATAAAAGTTTTTAACTGTAGCATGTTGCGGGGCCGCGGGCTAGTCGGGGAAAATTACAAGTTGTCTCCGCAATCGTTTGTTTCTAACCTCGTGGACGCTATACCGCGTGGGGACTCCTGACGGCCTGATCATGCTCGGCGCCGGCGCCTGTACACTGTGCGCGGTACGACTCTCAACACTGACCAAACGCGTAACATAGCAATAGTGCCTCAGTGATCATTTATTTTTAGGAACAGGTTGGCCAAAGGGGCCTCCTGTTCCCCTTTAACACAACCCCTAGGCCGGAAGCCGCCCCGTTCGGACCGGAAATGCAGGCACCCTGCCTGAGGCCGCCGTGTCCGTCTGGTATTGGCAATGTGATTCGGCCGTGAGCACGACATCTTCCTCAATATTGTCACCGCCGGCCTGTAATAAGCCTTGCGCGCTCATTGGCCGAGGCGAGGCTTCGGCTTTGGCCGGCGGCCAATCAGAGGCCGCGGCGGTCAGAGCAGTTCATTAACCACACGCGGCGCCTCTTGATAAACCAAGTGTGCAACTGCGTAACACTTGCAAGTGTGCAACTGCGTAGTATTGCACTTGCCAATGTTCAACTCGGAAGTCCTGCCCCTGCAAGTGTTCAACTCCCAGTAGTGCACTTGCCATTAATCATCTCGGGAAGTCCTGCCCCTGCAAGTGTGCAACCCTTAGTAGCAGTGCATGCACTTGCAAGTGTGCATAACTCGGAGGCTGTACACTTGTACAAGCGTGTGAGCTCCCCTAGTAACACGCAGTGAGCGTCCAATAATATACGGAAGTATAGAGGAGTTGCACTCTTACAAAGTGTACCCATTCCGATTTTCAACACTTCGAGCTACTTCGTAGTGGGTCATTTGCAAATATTCAAATTGCAGTTGCACACCTACAAGGGTTGGACAGTTGAACAAAACTTTTTTTTTTGTTTCTGTTCTTTACCAAAGACGACCCAATAGAATTGCGGTATACGTCACTTGTGTGTTAGTGTGGCTTAGCTTTGATGTCACCTTCAGCTCGCGCTGAATATTTTTTCAAAATTTGTAATAATGATATTGTTATTGTTTAAATAAATAAGTTATTATTGCAATAACCATTGGTGATCATGGAAATACTTGACGATTACGATTATAGTCAGTTACCGTTATTTTAATCAACAGGTACAATAACCCACAATTATAATTATAATTTATTTTTTTAAAGTCTCAAACAAAAACAGACTGCAGCATTCCGTTACCGCGTGTAGAAACAGTGTTATCTCTCTGCTGTTTATATTCGCTCTGATATGAGAAGGAGGGCTAACGTACTCGCGCACGACTCGCGCATACTACCGTTTGATTCGCAAACTGGAATAACGAGTGCTCTTCGTGCGGGTCCCTTTCCTTGCCGCTGGCCCCCCGGGGGCCTTATTCTGAATCGATTCCCACCTCATGCACTCGCAAAAACCGCTTTGTTTTTTTTTAAATTTGTAATTTCCTTAAACATTTCACTGGGACTAGAAGCTTCGCGAGATGCTAACTGCTTGAAATTTATTCGACTCATAATAATTTTGTTTTGGTCAGGAACGGAGGTCTCTTCCTACCCGTACTTTAAGTTAAGAAATGAGAAGGGCGCGTACGCGTGGCAGTGTAAGAGCGGTGGCGGTAACAAGATAGTTGTGCCCGTCAGGATGCGATTACAGGTAAAACCACGGCGCACCACCTCCTTGTTTTAGCGCAGCGGGCTTGTGTCACGTAAACGGCAAGCTACCCGGTGAAAAGTTGAATAAAACTTCTGAATAAAGAATCCGCGAGATTCACTGAGATATGTTATCACATTACTGGCCAAAGAGTGAACGAAGTTATGATGATTTGGTAGGTGAAATCGTCGTTAGTTGTTATAAAAGAAAAACATTTGCCCCCTGGGGTTAACGGTGTACGACACGACGTGGGATTTTCGAAAAGTCCTGCAGCAGGTGTGGAGGAGGGCCTTTTGAAACGCCCCGCGCCACGCCGCGCCACGCTTCCACGCCCCCCGCCCGCCCCAGGCGGTCAAAGCTCCACTCGTTTTGCTCCAAGGCGCGTATTAATTGCGGACGGACGGCGTTCAAAAACACCATCTCTTCTTCCGAAAAAAGGTGCGTCTCTGTCTCTCTCTCACTTTGTCGATCAGTACCTCGGAGCGACAGAGACGACGGGTACTACACCCATGGCGGGATGTTGCACGCGACCCCCTCTCACTACACGCGCGCGCGGCTCCATGTCACGGAAATTTTAAAAGTCGACGCTGGAGCAGGCTGACATTCTGTATATAAAGATAATGCGTTTCTCCGCAGATATGGTAATAATTACTCGGCGAGATTCTAATCACTCGAAAAGCGCGTGACAAAAAATCGTCGGAGAAAATACAGCCGTCACTTACTTGAATGAAAAGTGTCAACGTTAATCACATGTCAAATCCGTCTCTGTCCATACTTTCATGTATGAAAGTTGGCACACACTTGTACTTTTAAACACTTTAATTGAAACTGTAAAATCAAGTTTATAAATATTTTGGTGTGGAGCTAGCGAAATTTAAAACTTTCGCTTTAGGAATCGTCTAAAAAAAATTATTACATTGTGCAAACAAAGTTTGCTTCCAGAAAACACCAGCAGAATGTAAAAATAAACTAAGAAAAAGAAGAAGTAAGAGACTCTGTTTCACTTCTTTTCTACAATGTGGTAGTATGAAAGATCGAATTATCGCCACTATTTGAGAATGATGCACTCCTACCTGGGGAGCTAGACTAGACACTTTGTTGCACTCACCTTTCACACGGGGGAGGATGACACGACACTTGCTGCTCACGCTCACCGGTTCCGTCCCTCACGCCTTCCTAAGCCCGACTGCGGGCGGCAGGACGCCGCCAGACCCGCCCCGTCCCGCCTCACCACGCCCCGCCACGCCCCGGTCCATCCCCCCCGCCCCTGGGGCCCGCGCGAAGCGCGACAGCGCGCGCCGTGGCGTGGCGTGGGCTGCCCGAGGTAGTACAATCACCACCAACAGTTTTATTGAAGGGACGTGTGCCGTTCAGGGTCCTTAGCTTTCATTTGTCCCGTCGTTCAGGATGTCGCTCTAGTCGGGACCGGTCAGGACAAGTATTTGCCACCCACCCCCACTCCCAACCCCAATTTATGCGTGGGGGAAAACAACCTAACGTAAAAATGCTCGCTAATGCATTCTCTGTCAGTTCAAATGTGTTCGTGGTATACTTCAAAAAATGTGTACAAGGCACGTTTACTTTAATAGATGTCCATATGCCCGTGTATGAATTTAAAATTTACATATACGTGTGCAATGACTGCACACACTGCTTTTGGTAAACTACCCATGTTCACTTTATTTAATGTACACCATGTATAAATTGGATTTTAATTGACAGAGTTGGCTTGGTTCTTGCTGAATTGTGGAATAAGCCATGTCTATCGTTCCGTGTATGCGTTCGGTTGCAGAATGTAGTGTGCATTTCGGCGTCACGCGAATGGCATCCTCCCTGTAACTCATCCTCTTAAGAACCAACTCCACCTAATCGGCTCGACTCGCCATTGAGACTACCGTATCGTGTATTTGCGCCGACTACTGAAACACCCTCTTCCTCCAAAGAAGCAGGGGATAGGGTTGTACGCTATCTCTCTCGCATGCAGATATAGAACATTCGTAGAGGTAAGCACAAATGCACCTATAGGATAGTGTTAATAGCGAAAGAGACAGTTTGTGGTTTCGTTTTACCTCGTCGAGTCAGTTTGAAAAAGTAGTGTCTCGTGAGATCCCCGGTATCTTTCCAACTTCATTGACAATGACTCATTCCAGTGGCATATACACTGTGAAAAATATGTTCGTACATATACGGTATATTTTGTAATTTGCCATTTACATTATGTGTCCTACATGTACCGAGTGTAAAGGCTAATACTCCCCAGTGTTGCGGGTTTGCATACCCAAGGGACAATGGCGCCTTGCGGGCAGATCGGGTAGGCAAACCCGCAACACTGGTGTATTGCCTTTACAGACGGTTACAACCGTCCACTAAGCTCCGAAGCTTCCACTCTTGATCGTTATTCGAATTCAAGTCGATAAGGAGTTCTTGTGCATTTACAATCTTAAATCGTAATGGTACGACTTCTTTCATGGAAAATTTTCCTGTACCCGGCACGTCAAATTTTTACATTGAGCATGACTATGATTCGGCGCTTGCGAATCTACGGTCGTTCTTAATGTAAGTGGCGCGACATTGCAATGGCAAAGTATAACAATCAGTCCAACAATCAGCATAACCATCAGTAACACGATCAGTATAACCCTGCCCCGCTCTGCCGGCTCTTTGCAGTAGGGGAAGTGGTTCGCGGGGCTGCCACTCGGACTGACGGTGAGCCAGACCACCGGCAAACTGGACGGTTTCTGCGCAAAGTCAGACCGGTTCCGAGAGATAATCCTCCCCCGAGACGTACAGCAGCGCAGTACACCCGCGTGATTCACACCGCGGACTCTCCAAAGTGTCGCTTGCCAGATTGCCACTGCTTGATAGCGTCGCGGGGAGGAGGCGATAGGGGCTGAATTTTGGTGCAATACATGCATATGACACATCCATTAAACAGGGGACACACAGATAAACACAAACAATAAGATTTTTAGCCGAAACAGCGAGAGCTAAACAATTTTTCTATGTTTGCTGCTCTATCAAAAGTGCGTACTGTCACGTGTTGCTACCAGAATAACAACTCACTGTTATTCAAGGAACGTGACGTCACATTCGTTGGAATATTGAATATTGTGTCACATTTGTTTCGGCGTGACCCCTGGATTAGCAACTGATTTACGTTAAAACGAATGTGACACAATATTTAAACGAACGTGACACGATTCACAATAAAACGAATGTGACGTCACATTCGCTGAAAAACAGTGTGCTAAAAATATATATTTTTTTTGTGAATACAGCAAACATTTTTTTAGATTCCTGTAGAGAAAGAGGGAGACAGACAAGACGGAAAGCCCTATGCGAATAACCACACACGTGGGCATGCTGACATAAAATTAAGTACGGGACGCTCGCGCGCACTTCCTGTAATTGGAGTTATGCGTTGCTGAAAAGGGCTGTTCGGTTTTAAACGGGAAGAGAGAGCGGCTAAAGGAGATGAGAGAGGCAGAGTTAGAGGCGTTAGTGGTGGAGAGCCGATACAGGATGGAGCCGGCGAGCACCGCGTCCGATAGGGTGGGCCGCGAAGAAGCCGCGCTCGAGAGCGCGAGGCACCACGGTATAGAGAGCGTAAACCTTCTCCGGCGGCTCGGGGCTCCTCTGCTGCAGCAACCACATCATCTCTGCTTTATCACGTCGTGGACGCCTCGCTGTGAAGCGTGAATGTTTCTGCACCGCGTTCTTGTATAAGGACAGCACAATCCGCTCCTTTTCGTTAGACTTGAGTGTTGGCGCTCGTTCCCCGCGCTGTAGGTTGCTGCTGGCGAACCAGGTGACCGCACGCTCGGGGTTGTTGGGTTGTTGACGTTATGGGAGTGACATTTCCTCGAGCATTTCCCCCTTTTCCCTTGCGTCATAGTCATAATTTTCCTATTTTTTCATACCTCTCTTACCTGGGGAGGCGAAAATCATTGCAGAAAGCGCGTCCAGGCAGTCACTGTAAAGGTGGTGTCTCTGGCAGTCTTGTGTTTGTGTTCGTGCATCCGTAAGGCGGGGTGGGTAGGGGCGGGGCGAGGTGGGGCGGGGCGCCTTGTCTGTAGGGGACCGGCGCACAGATGCTCCACGAGCAGTGTGTAAGCCCCACACATGCTTGACGCGACACCCGCGACACTTACACAGTGAGAAAATCACGAAGCCAACAGATACATCATTTTGTACGAAACGTTTTCGGAAACCTCACTTAAAAGGCGGTAGCAGCTCTCTCGCTCTCTACGACCAAACGTCTATTCGAGAGATGCAAGTTATTGTCACTAACTGCCAAACTGAGCTGTGGTGTGTGTAAGACTCAGAAGAAGTTTATTACTTACGGTGTATGCATCATGTCTCGGTGCCAAAAGCTTTAGTACCCCAGCAGTCCCCCCCCCCCCTTTTCTCTCTCTCTCTCTCTCTCTCTCTCTCTCTCTCTCTCTCTCTCACACACACACACACACACACACACACACACACACACACACACTCAACTCATCCTGCCTGTATCTTTTCTTATTTCTCATTTCCTACTACATCCTTGTCCTTCGCAGCGGCAGACGTGAGGCCACCTTTCGGCCGGCGTGTGCTCTCTGACGTACGGAAATCTACGAAATTCGGAGGAACTGTACCAGACTCAGAAAATAACATGACTAACTCCATATTGCAGGAAGAAGAAGACAATGGAGTGAGCCATGGGCTCAGAAAGCGAGAAATATCTTTTGACGTCGATAGCATTTTAATCCACTCAAAGGATTGACAGTATCTACTTTTTATTCCATTGTGATGCGTTTTAATTGACAAGACGCAATAAATTCTTGACGTCAACAATGCACGCATAAATTTTCCGGACGTTTGAACAAATGTTCGTCTCTAGCCGCTGGCACGGTTCGCCGCACTGATCTTCGCAGCACCCACCCTCTGTTTACAAACACGCCGCAGCGCGACAGGGTGGCTCAGTAGGAAGAGAGGGGGGCGGGGGGCGGGACCACCCTGCACAGTTCTATACCTCTGGCGGGCGCGTGGTAGACATGCGGTAGGCAAATCGCTGTCGACTTTTCTTGGCACCCATGCTCCCCCCGTTTTCGGGGAAATAATTTATGTAACTTTGCGTCTTAGATCTCTTTGTGTACCTTCTTCCACTTAAAGCTTGCAAAATAAACTCGCACATCATCCCTTTTTTCCTCATTTTTTTCCTCGAGCAAGTTGACACACACGCTTGATTAATTGAAGGGATATTACTTGTTTGTTGTTTTGATTTTCAGAGTGTACCGATTGTGATCGTGGGCTTCTACCTGTGTGGTCTGTGTGTGTGTGACTTCGACTAGATAGCGCGTGGTTTACTCATGTCGTTTGTTTTAATTTTTTGCAGATGCAAAGGGGTCGTGACCGCGGCCTCTTTGGGTGCACCGAACGCAACCAGTACGTATAGCAGGTACTCTATGCACGCACGTCGTATAGCGCTTCAAAATCTGACTACACGCATCGTATGATGGAAGCGCCGAGGGAAGCCCGAGCGTAGAGGGGGCGTCCTTACAAAATTATCTTTAAGGGGAACCTTTTGCCATTGTCTTCAGTGATAGCCCTTACGAACTAGACGAAGAGAAACTAGTGCTGTGACGGAGTAATATTTGTTGTTTTCGCACATAAAACAATGGTTGTTTCTAAAGAGGACACGGACTGTACACTTTGAACACCGTCGAGGGCTCCTGAAACGTAGCCGCATACTACAAAACGGCTGTGGTTTCGTGGACCAGGCGCGCTTGTCTTGCACATGACGTCACTGTGACACGACGGCGCGTTTCTCGACGACGCATTCTCGCGGGGGGCGCCTCCGCGCGTGTCGGCCATTCTGTGGGGCCAATCCCAGGTGGATTAATTGCCCCCTGTGTGTGCTAGGGCGGGGCGGGGCGGGGTAGGGTGCGGCGGGGCGGCTTGGGCTCTCCCCCGCAGGCCCCCCACAGCAACTGGACCGCAGAGCGGCGCGAGTCATCGCTCCCGCCAAAGCCGCAAACCGCGGCGACCGCCGCGCCACCTGGCGGCGGGCTGGCGAGGCCACCCGCGCGGAGGTGCACGAGGTGCCGCGGGCGGCCGGCAGAGCGCGCCGCAGCCTCCGTGCGCGGGAGCGCGGGCACGATGCACGATGGGCTGCCTGAAAGCGCGGCGGGGCCACAGTTCACTGCACTCTACTGTAAATGGAGCTCAGTTTTGAGGATGTAAGAAGCAGGGCAACCCTTTTACCCAGTAAGAAAAGTGAGCACGTTTTGAGTGATGCGCTGTTCGGTTGAAGGGCCACGTTACTAAAACCAACAGCATGTACATTTTTATCTATATACTAGAGTATTTTCCTACAACTATTCGCGCAACAAGATGTCCCTGGAATATCGCCCCGTCGAGGCACATCCCCACTTAATTCCTGCTGATAGTACTCATTGTCAACCGAAACAAAAAAATCCTTGTACGCATTCTCCAGACGCGCGCAGATCTTGGTAAATCTAAGACGAGTTTCCGGCTTCTTTTTCCAGCAGCCTCTCATCACGTCAATGACCTTTTGAGGACAGTCAGTGCATTCCGATACCGGCAGCAGTATATGGTTTTGAATTAATCCAATTACCTGCAAGTTAAACAATTAACCGTATGTAGAGAGAAACACGGAGAAGAACATTCGGGTCATACACGCAAGAGTTTGGACACATTTGAAAGGAAAAAACTATCCAAACTTTTTCAGGGAATGTGCAGAGTCTACGCGCCTGGTCTAACACCGACACTAAATCGGTGCAAGCTTACTCATAAAAATAATAAAAAGAATACAGACCCATCTTTAAATTAGTATCAGCTACTTTTAAGATCGATTCTCGGTGTATTTATTAGCAGATAATACCTTTAAAAACTTTTGAACCTCTGACTAAACATAAAGAATACAGTAAAAGCTAGCTGACACCTTAAAGGTACTGATATATTCTATATGTTTAGTCAAAAGGTTTGTAAGGTATCATGTGCAAAAAAAAATTAACCATAACCAAGACTGCGAGGAGCTACGTGGTTTCAGTAGCGCCGAGCAACGGTACCTGCACTGTAAGTTCCTTACGAACAACTGCTCTTCGTAACGTACAAATGATTTGGAGCATTTGTATTACAAACAAATTGTTTGTATTACGAAGAGCCTGGTTTGTATTACAAACGAGGCTTTTCGTATTACGAATGGGGGGTGTTCGTAATATGAACGAAAAACGTTCGTAATATAGCTGCTTTAGATCCTTTGTAAGTTACAAACAAATTCTTCGTAATACGAACACCGCTGTTTGTAAGGAACCGCTGTTTGTAAGGAACTAAGAGTGTGTTTTGGTCACACCACCAGCTTCGCTAATAGATACTACTAGGTTTCACATGAGTCGCTGCTTTGTTGTGTTCCAAGCGAGTGATATGTAATTTTTCCGTGTTTCCAGCCAGCATGTGGAAAAATAGAAAATTTTGACCCGGTAAACTTTTGCCTACACGCGCGCATAGATGAAGAGTTATGATATCATTATTCTTAACAAAACCCTCCATTATTATTTTACTTTTACCTCTGTAACGGAAAACCTCTTGCCTACCTGTTGGTTGTTGTACTGGTAGTATGGGGTTTGACCCGCAGTGAAGACTTCCCAAAGCAGCACTCCGTAGCTCCATACATCCGACATTAAGGTGTAGCAGTAATCGTGAAGTGTCTCGGGGGCCATCCACCGTACGGGTATTTGCCCATGTGTCCGAATCTAGTTTTGGAGAGAGTACAGTTCAGTACAGTTCAGTAAAAAAGCCCCCTCTTCACTCTGAAGAAGGGCAATTTCAATTTTGTATCCAGTGACGACGCGTCTCTAAACACATCTTTATTGGATGCAAATTTGTATCTGAAAATTTACAAGTTGCACCCGGCCCAAGTACCAATGACTGTTTTTGGCCTATTTAAGAGAAAAATTTGCATCCGGTTAAGATGTGCTTAAGAACGAATCCTCGCTGGATAAAAAATTGGCCTTTTCCACTAAGATTGTCTGAGCGCGGGAGATTCAGGCCTACTCGCTCTATTGACAGGCCCGAGACTTGCCACGGCCTCTCTCAGACCTTGTTCGACCCCCCGGTAAAGCCGTGCACTATTCATGAGAGCAATGCAACGTTTCGTTTAGAAATGCTTCAAACTGTACTTCCGTGTTTACTCACCCTGTAGTAGTCTTCCATGTAGATGTCCCTGCTCATGCCAAAGTCTGCGATTTTGACGGTGAGGTTCTCGCCGACCAGACAGTTCCTGGCCGCCAGATCACGGTGCACGAAGCGCCGCTCTGCCAAGTAGCGCATGCCCCGGGCGACCTGCAGCGCGACGCTCACCAGGGTGCCTCCGGTTAGTGGGGGTAGGCCCGGAATTGGGCCCTGCTTAGAGCTTCTTAGGACCTTTTGCAAGTCTCCATAGAGCATGTACTCGAATACAATGTACAATACGGTGGGCGGCGTGGTCTCGGGGTCTGCACAAGAGCGTCAAACACACATCGTCTTCAAGGCATGCTGTCTGCTACGCTGCTGTCATTCAAACTCTGTGGCGTCACATTAAAACGGATATCACTCGTTTACATTCGTTAAAAGTGTGGAACAAGATGACGGACTGAAGAGTTCTACTTCAAACTGCAATTTTCTAACCAGGAATAAAAAATTTAATCTGATGGTGCCACCTTCTTTGTCTTCAAATTCTCCTTTAATCGAGCCTCCCTACCTATTTCAATATATTAAATCACTACAACCCTATCACACGTACGCTCACTTGAATGAGAATTTAAAGACGACGAAAATGGCACTCTCAGAAATAAAATTTAGAAAATTATAGGGAAGTGTAGAACTTTTCAGTCTATCGTTTGGCCATGTTGTTCTACACTGCGATTTTCAGAGGCTTGTAACGTGACAGCTGCGCATGCTGTGCTACTCTGGAAACTCGGGTTCGAGACAGTATCACTGGAAAAACAAGTATGACTAACTTTACGAACCCTTATGCACTACCCCGACTAGCTGCACGATGTTTGGGTCGTCGAACGAGGTCATTATATCCACCTCCCTTTTGAAGTCTTCTTCGTCTGCATTTGTCGCACGCTCCTTGAGTTTCTTCAAAGCCACGGTCAGTGGGGTGCAGTTCGGCTTTGTCAGCTGAGCTGTGGGAATGTAAACAAACTTCACACTCAGGAGGACGTTGCCCAGCTTTTTGCAGTTTTGTTCATATGTTGTAGACGAAGCTGCAACCAGCTCCTTCACGAATGTTGCTTTTTGGGTTCACGCAAGAGAAGTAAATTTCATAACTACTTAACTACTGAACCACTTAACACTTCGACGTGTCCGTGCAACAATATCATATCTGTTTCGCTGCCCCGAAAGACTAGCCTATCTCTTTGGCTACTCAGAAAGACTGTCCTTAGATATTATTTGGTTTTTGACGCTCTCAGCACTATTTTGCTTACCTACCCTTAAACACCATGCCGAAATTTCCACTCCCCAGCAAGTTTCCCTCCTGGTCAAAGGTGATGTCATTTTTGTCAATGATTGCAACGTCCCGTTGGCTAGATTTGGACGTGACATCGGTTGGGTCATACATCGGATTACGTATCAATGAGGGTGTGCTCGGCCACCTCAACAGTCGTCTACGACGCAAATACCACACCACTGCCAGGGCTACCAGGATGACAACGAAAGACGCGCCGGCGGCGATCTCCTTCTCCCAACCAGGCTCCAGCTTAGAACCGTCTTTTGATTTTTTCTCATCTGTAATAGAGCAAGGATTTATTTTAATGGATGGAAAATTCCTTCTCAACTATAGTAGTAGGAAGAATCTATATATCCCAAACAAAATGTTAATTGGCTATATGGGTGCATGATACTCACAGTCACAGCTTGCCTCGTCTGAGTTGTCACCACAGTCGTCGAACTTGTTACAAGCATCACTCTGCCTCATGCAGACCTCATTGTTACAAGTTTTGTAAGGTGAGCAGTCTAATGACTCCGGCTTAGGACCTGGAATATTATAGTAACGTTCAATACAGTTGGGAGTATTGATTAATGCGGACCCCCCAAGGGACCATCCAGAAAGTACGTCCGATTTTTCTAAGATTCGTTCAGCGAAAAAGGAAAATGAGCGCCTGCGAGGCTCAAGGTAGGCCAGCCCGCAGATCACACATGCACTACATACGAGAAGTTGCCTACCCACCAGGCGCTCCGAGAGCTAGCACAGGATGAACTTGGCTGTTTTGGAAGGAACAGCGAATCACGGACGTACTTTGTGGACGATCCCTAAGCTAGGGGCTACGAACGGTTTACGCTTTTTTCTAGACCACGTGCCAGGGGAGAAACGGTTCTATTTTAAGTTTGAAACGAAGCCGAACGAAGCCCTTGTAAGTGGAAGGTCAGCTTACCCTCGATGGATATCACCCCAAGGTCGTGCTGGCCGTGCGTCCAATTGTCCATCCTGTACTGAGCTATACTCTTATTGCTCAATAGCACTAGTACGATACCATCGCGGAGAACGCCTTTTGAGACGACGATACCGGTGAGGTTGTCCTCTTCGTTGCCTTCCTCGACCGTGTTCGCACCGGTGTTGTTGCTCGCCGTGCCCATGTCATCGTCCGTTTCGCTGCTGGTCTTGTTGCCCGTCAGGTCAACGTCTCTGGCCGCACGGATCCCCCTGCTGTCGCCTCCACCGTCCCAGAAGTAATAGTCGGTGGTGTTGCTTGCCAGGTCACCCTCGACGTCTTCATCGTATCCAACATCCCTGATGTTTCGGTTGTTGCTGATCTCCGGGTTACTTTCATTGCCCTCTTGGTTGCCTTCATCGACCGTGTTCGCGTCGGTGGTGTTGCTCGCCGCGTCGCCTTCACCGTCCGTGACGGCACCGGTAATGCTGCTCGCCGTGCTCGCCGCGTCGTCTTCATCGTCCGTGACGGCACCGGTGTTGCTGCTTGCCGTGCTCGCCGCTCCTCCCTCATCACCGATGTTGCTGCTCGCCGTCTTGTTTCTTTTCGGATAAACGACGGAGCCAAACTTGAGCAGTTGTGCGGCTTGGGCTCCACTCAGTTGGGTAGGATCTGTTACGGATACATACCGCGATTAACAAAATAAAGAAAATACTGCAACAGTATGCCATTGCCATTGCGAGTGCACCCCACTCTTCTACTTGGGCGGGCGGTTAAACTGAACCAAAGACGTAACGTATTGGGCGTTATTACGCTTCAAGTTCACGGAACGAATTTAAATACTCAGAAACGTTCCATTGCGTTATTGAATTGTAACCCAATTATGGACATTTACGCACTGTTAAAAGTTTTCGTGATTTTACCAAAATTGATGTTACGTAATTCTTCGTAAAAATTTATTTACGAAAACATTAAGTAAGTGTCAATTTACGAAACGTTTCGTTAAGTTACAAATATATCTCGCAACGAATGCCAATTTTGGGGTCTTAAGGCATAAAATTTGACAAAACATAAGAGAATTTCATATTCTGTAGTCAGAGCTTTGGATTTTACGATGGAATTCTTAAAATAACGATGTAGTGTAATTTGTCAATATTAACCGAGAAAGTTTTTAGTTTAGGGCCTCTATAAAGCCACTGAAAAGCTCTAAAGGTGCTATAAATTAGTGGCTTTTTATTGGCATCATGAGATGACACAGTGACTTTGTCAATTATTTAGTGAAAAGGAAGTTTTACGAGAGTGCGTTTCCTTTCCACCATTTTTTCACCAATGAAACTTTTTACCTTTACAGTTTTTCTCGTCCGATCCGTCAGAGCAGTCTTCTACGGTGTCACAAACGTCGTCTCTTCTTAAACACTCTCCAGAATCACATTGGAAGCTACCACAGAAAAGATTCTCTTCTGAAAAAAAACCACACGTTTAACTATTAAAACAGATCTTTGTCAAACTGAGTGGGCCGGTGATTCGGAAGCTGTCTCGTGTCGGGCTAAATATTTGCCCGACTCACCCGACACACTTCGTCGGGTGCGTTGGGTGGGGTATGCAGACGCCAGCGAACGCCGGGCCAGCGGAAACACGTCAACCCGCCCTATCGAAAACCGTAGGCTGAGCGGCTGAGCCGCGATAGGATAGGAGGCGTGTATGTGGCATAAAAGCAGCAATGTGGAGCACTCCTCACAATTATTGCCTTTCTATTTTAGCGCAACATCAGTGCAAACAGAAATGAGTAAATTCTAAGGTCAAGTTTTAAGCTCGCAGTACTCACCAGTCTTATTCGCCGCGGGCACCAACTTCAGGTCGTACTTATAACCAATCCACCTCGCCGAGCTGTCCCGCTTGGTTCGATTCCCCTTCTGTGTGCTTTTGCCCATACGATAGTCGCCCTCGTTGCGGCCACAACGCACTAGCAGAAGCCCATCCTTCCGTACGCCCCAGGAAACGACGATGCACCTATAAAACGGTGTATACAAGAAATTATTTGCAACGCTTTCAACGAGTCCGAGAACGAGTCCTAGTTTGCATTGCCTACGTAGTTTTGTTTCCATCTTCTTTGTCCTGTTCACCCCAACTCCAGTCCTCGTCTCGCTCTACGACGTCACGAAATTTGAGGTTGAAAGCCGTTGCGTTCTTAACTGGATTAAACCCCACTTCAATGGGAACTGCGGGGAAAAAAGGGGGGCATCGATTGGCCACTCTAGAAGACTTTGCAAAATAAATATTGTACCTATACTAGTTATGCGCACAGAGGCTCATTGTTAAGTGTACAATATTTACCGTCAGTCTGCTGCTGCAGGTGGTGGGCGGGCTCACCGGTTGGCTGGGTGTCGTTGTCGTTGAGCGCCAGGACCAGGGCAAGCGGCATCAGCAGCGCCAGCAACGCGTCTATCGTCATCCTCGACGCCTCCTATCCATGGGTGACAACCTGACGGCTGATGTGTTGATGGAGTACTCCAATCCGCGCCGCTCCAGTGAGTCAAATGCCGGCCCGTGCGTGTGCGTCTGCTCGCGACTGTCGACTGTCGCTGCTGTTCTTCGCACAGCTTGTTTTTGCCGCTTTTTGCCGCCCTTGTAGCAGCAGGCTGATAAGGACGCCGGGTCTGGTCGGTATGCGTGGTTCCAAAGTGATATGGAACTGAGAGCGCTGATTATTGGTTAAAAAATACTTCATCTCTCAGAAGGAGATGAGTCATGTTGTGGAGCAGGAAACTTGCAGATTTACTCGTCCCAAACCGGCCCTAGGGGAGCTGCAGCTATTTAAGTAGCCCTGTGTCCAAGTGGTGGCCGATCGAGAAAATGTTCGTATTCTAAAGGAAAAAAAACGTCTTGTGTAAAGAGATGGATTCCTTTTAGAGAAGAAGTAATTTTCTGGGTCTGGTTGCGCAAATATCTATAGGTACTATATTATGGCGGTTCGTGTGGCTGATAGTGACTCTGATGACTGTCGTTGCTCTTCCTTTAGGTCCTCTCGCTTCTGCTGTTCGAGGTGGTCCTCTTCATCGCTGGATGCTGGCAACGGAATGGAAGTGATACCGCCGACTTTGGTGAGTGACACTTCTTTATCTCAAATTCAGCCAAAGCTACCAAATGGTTAGTACTTGGCGCCCAACGTTCCCTTGCGCCCAGTCAGAACTTTCATTGAGGGGGGGGGGGACTTAAGCTGGATAAAGCTAGGACTTCGGAGGCTCGAAGGAGGCTTTGAATAGGTCGGTTTGAATAAAACAACATATTTTATTGTTTATCTCTATTTATTTTATTGATGTCCTCTTTGCTTCTTGCACCTAAATCTCCAGTTCCACTCTGTCTGGCCTTATAAATTAAATTAGTCGGCATAAAATTTACATCTACATTAAATTTACTCTTCTATTTACACAACGTTTTGAGTGGATGAATGAAAATTTAGGTGCACTTGACGAAAATGCAGAAGTAAACTTAATGCATTTGCAAAGATGAAGAAGTTACCTTATAAAATGGTACTTTTAAAATAAAATTTGCAAACTAGTCAACATAACTAGAAATGGAATGGTGCTAATTTCTGATAGTTTGCGGCTTCTTTAGTTATATTAATGGCAGTGAAACTTCCATTCGAATATAGTTTTAGATGAAGCATTCCCTTGTGTATTCCTTGTTTTAATTTTGTATTCTAATAAAAGATGTATTTTTTCTAGCACTCGCCATTCCAAATCGTTTTTCGTTATCACAGCATTGGTTACAATCACTGCATGGGTTCATGCGAAAGTTTTACCCTGTGCAGTAAAGATAAATAGTACATCTCACAGTACTTGAGAAGGCGACAAGAGCAGTTGTCTGATCTAGTACTCTTGAAAAATAGGACGACGGTATTTAGAGATACTGGAATGCAATTAAAAGATAATTGTGAGGCAATCATCTGTAACTGGAAGTAGTATGATCTAAAAGAACATAAAGAAAGCGAATTTAAATAGAACATGAAAACAATTTTCTTTCGACTTAACTATTAATTAATGTTAAATTTGGCACAAAGATTAGTAGAACATTGTGAGATTTTTCTTGTTCTTAGTTGGACTTAGTGATGTTTACGACATTCATTTCACGCAACATTGTTAGATTTTAAAAGTTGTCTTTCCACATAAACAACACTTAAAGATAAATAAAAGAAAGTAGTTTAGAATATAACTCCGTCTCTACATAAGCTGGCAGGAAATTTGTGCAATCTTCTCTTCTCAGTCGAGTATTTTGCACCTTTCGTGGTGCAAATACATTTGTTTTGGGTGGTACTTCTATTGAGCAGACTCCCCGCATCAAGAAATGGTCGCCTGAGCGACATCGCTTCAACGTCCGATCCGACATGTTGCCGAGATGGCTGATCCGACATTCACTTCACGTTTCACTGCTCGCTGAACCATCCCCTCTGCGCGACGTAGCCCGACGACCTGGTCTGCGTCCTGGTGGCGCCCTGCTGCGACTCGCTCTGCACGGAGTAGCTCTGCACGTTGTGGTGGCCCTGGGGCGGGTGCACCAGGGCGGTGGTAGTGGTCGTGGTGCCGGCGGCCTGGTGGCCCGGGGGCAGGGGCGCGGGCCCGCGGCCGCGGCTGGACCGCGTGGAGCGGGCCGACGACCTCGGCGACGTGGGCGAGGGCGGGCCCCGCACCACGGCCCAGTGCTCGGTGAACTCGGAGGCGGAGCGCGCGAGCGACGGCTGGCTGAGGGAGCGCGCCAGGCCCAGGGTGCCGTAGTCGTCCTCGATGGCGTCCTCGTCGTCCGAGTAGCGCCTGGGCGCGCCGCCCCGGTAGTACAGCGAGCTGGGCCCGCTCGCGTCGCTCAGCGTGTCGGCGCGCTCGGGCCGCGTGTAGTCCACCATGACCTCCGTCATGGAGCGCACGTCCATGTCCGACATGGACGGCATGCTGGAGCGGCTCGTGCGCCGCGAGCGCGCCAGGTCGCGGATGGCCTCGTGACCCTCGGTCGTCATGGTCAGCGAGCTGGTGCCGTCCGAGTCGTACTCGTAGAGGGTGGGCAGCGACGAGCGCCGGCTGCGCGTGTCCCAGTCCGTCTTGCGGCGGTAGCGCTGTCCGTTGGCCGGGCCGCCCTGCAAGCAGGAGGAGGGTCACGGTGTGCGCCAGGACAACGGGGCCCTCGCGGACTCCGGGGCTGGCGCGGTGGGTACCTACCTTGGGGTCGTAGAGGCGCTCCGGTGGCGCGAGCACCCGGATGATGACGTCCCACTTGGCGGGCTCGAACAGGCGCTCGTAGCGCTCGTCGCTCCGGATGCGCTCGTAGTCCTCCTTGACGGTGGCCTCAGTGAGCAGGGTGCGCAGCGAGGACTCAGTCGTGAGGATCTGCCGCCACTTCTCGCGGTCCTCCTGGGTTAGCGCCGTCGTGGTCGCCGTCGTTGTGATGGTCATGGGTTCCTCTCCGACCTGGTGGCGTTAAAACAGAGAGACATTAGTCGTGCTGCTTTAGAGAACGGTCTTGTTTCTACTCAGATTTGTGACCTCACCTCGCTAACACTGAGGTCGTCGTGGTCACGCGGTTCTGGCATCTCGGGCTGGTCCAGGACGCGGATGAGGACGTCCCAGTTGGGCGGCGGCGGCTCGGGCGGCGGGATGGTCATGGAGGAGCGGTACGTCCTCTCGACGTCCACGCTGGAGCGGTGCATCTCGGAGCGCTGCTGCAGCTGCTCGGACACGTTGACGCGACGGTCGGTGATGTGCTTCTCCAGGGGCCGCTCCAGCACGGGCGTGGTCGGGTAGCCCGACGCCGAGGACGTCTCCGAGTAGCTCTCCCAGTCGGTGGCGGGCTCGGCGAGGGCCTCCTGGCCGGGGGCGGGGTAGTTGCGGATGACCACGTCCCACTTGGGGTTGGGCGGCGGCGGTTTGGCGTGGAACTCCTTGACCTGCGCAGGGAAGCGTGTGTCAGCGCTGGAGCTTAGAGGACGCCGCCGCGGAGGCCGCGGTCCACCACTTACCTGTCGGCGGTGTCGCTCGATGTCCTCGATCGTCTTCTTCTCGGTGATGGTGCGCAGGAACACGTCGTCGACGACGTGGCTGGTGATCTCGGGCCGGCGCTCGGCCACGACGGGGGCCTCGAGCTGCTCGATGACCTCCTCGACGATGGGCGGCGGCGGCGGCCGGGCGGCCACCCTCTGCGTCGACGTGAGCTCCTCGGTGTCCACGATGGTGCGGAAGTCGGCCGTCTCCGTGGTGAGCGTGGACAGGCTGGGCCGCGGGGGCGGAGGTGCGGCGCGCACCACCTGCGAGGAGCGAGCACGCAGTGAGCACGGCGACAGACAACGACGGGGAGCTTTCGAAATATTCGATCTGATTGACATCTTCTTTCTGCGTAAACCCGCTGGTTGGCTCTGTCGAAGACGGTTGACAGAACGGTAGGGGGTTGTCGGGAACGGGGTGTCTTCCGTGGACGCCGCTGTGGGGAGGTACGTACCTGGGCGAGGACGCCGGTGGAGGCCAGGATTGAGCGGGACTGAGGTTAGGTTAGGTCGGGGGAGTGCGGGATGCACGCAGTGTGGTTGTAGGTGGGTTATTCGTGCTGGTCATGTTCGCGGTGACGTAAGTACATGTTTTTCGGTTATCTCCACTACGCTCGTGGAGGAAATAAGTGAGTAGAGTTTCATTTTTGTTGCAGTGAATGTTACGTTACTTTTTGTGGTGCAATTATTGTCAGTTATTAAGTTCTTTGCAACACTGGTGCGGCGCTGGCGTTACGTCTTTTGGTTTTGGGATGCGATGAACGGGTTAGGGCACAAAGGATTAGGAGCCATAATATGGATCATTCGTTAAAAAAATGTCACGTGGGATGCGCAATGGGACGTGATAGAGAAGAGGAAAACAAAAACAATGATTATCGAAAACAGTGGCACTTATGCGGGGGATAGCTCTCCCCGTCATACCTGCTGCCTGCGCATGATCCTCGAGTAAACCGGCGCGTTGGCGCTCGACGAGGAGCCACCGGCCGGCGCCGCGTGCAGCTCCGGCACGTACGAGAAGGTCGTCTTGTGGATGGACGGGGTGTCCTCGCGCTGCTCCAGGATCGTGGTGAGCTTGTCCTGCTGCAGCGTGAGCTGGGACTCGAAGTCCGAGCCCGGCGGCGACGGCGGCGGCGGGGATCGCTTGACCCGCATCTGCGGAGGGTTAGCCGTGCGAGACAAGGTGTGAGGTCAGAGGTCAGGGCGGGCATGCGAGCGGTATAATGCTTATGTCGCGGGGTTTATTATGTTTTTTTGGTTGTTGTTTTTTTTTTTAAGAAAAATGTTATGATATCACTTGTGTGAAAATTTGACCGTGCTTTCCTGATCGCAAATTTTAGAAATGATTGAAAAACGTTTTTTTTCGCGTTGAAAGAGTTAAGGCGATATTAAAAACATGACAAATGACATGGACATTATATTTAAAATTATCAAGCAGCTGTTTCGGCGTGCGTATGTACACTACTCACCTGGACCTCCATTTTGTGATGCGGTTCATAGGACCCAGAGCTCACCGTGGATGGCCTTCGCAGGCTGCGCGTGTCGACCTGGAGCAACATATGTTCACTAAGGACCTTCCTCGTGGACGAAACTGGTGTTAGGCATGCGAAACGGGCCGAAACCCGAGAGGGGGAAGATAAAAATGTCGCCCATTTCGGACTTGGCATCTGTTCGGGATGCATATAGAGGGGTTTCTGTACACGTTTTCCCAAGCGAGCGAGCGTTAAGGCAAGGGCTTGGCGCGGTCTCGCCTTAGACAGGCGACGCGCCTAGCAGGCGTGTCAGTTGGGTGGCCTAGCCTCTCGGCGCGGAGGGATCCCAGCGGACGTCACGAGGTGGCCGAACACCACGATGTAGAGAGGGTTTCCTACATCGTGCTGAACAGTTGTTTACACACAGGGAAAATAGGCTTCACCAAATTTCGACTTTTCCGAATTTTGAGTTAAATTCACTGAAAAGTTCACCAAATTGACCAAACTCATCAAATTGCGCAAAATTCAAAATTCGGAAAAAAACATTAACCAAACTTTAGAAAATTCTACCAACTTTCAAAAATTCTTTAACAGTTTTAAAACTTTGGCAACATACCTAAGTTTGCGAAAGAAAAAAAATGCACTGGAATTCAAGCCTATTTTCCCTATGCTGTTCACAAGACTATACAGGGTTTGATTTTGTTTGTGACTATGTGAAATTGCAAGCGTGAAACGGATGACTTTCGTTTGTTTCACGACAACAGGAATGAGCGGATTAGTTGAGACAATTCGGCGTGCAAACTATCGACTTCTGGATCTGAAGTGGCGCGTGTCGCTGCAGACTCGGTGCGAGTTCGAGACACTCGATGTCGTTCTGCCGGCTTTACCTCCTCCACCTCCGAGTGTGCAGAGCTGGGCGACTCGCTCGGGTAGTCCGAGGGCAGCGTGTCGGAGGGCTCGGACACCAGGTGCTGCTCGGACGACGACAGCGACACGGCAGTGTGCGCCCGGGGGATCTTGAGGCCCTCGAACAGCGACACGGGGCCGAGCGAGGGGTTCGACAGCTTGGAGCTCTCGGACTCGGTGTCGGCGAGGAAGGGCGCGCGCCGCACCACCTAGGGACAGTCCAAGGCACGCTCAAGCACCCCGTCGTTGTGTGGCTGACCGAAGGGAACCCGCGGGTCAGGAAAAAAGGGTGTCTTAAACGTCCGCTAATGTTTTCCATTCGTTTTTTTCCCCATTTGAAAATTTTGCATTTATCTTTATCTGTCTTTTTATCTAGAACAAATTAATTAACAAACTTACGCTTATTTGAAATGCAGTTCTCTTTCGTTTTGACACCCTCATTTTCGACCGGCGGGCAAGAAAAAGTTGTGAGCGACTGTACACTTTTCTATACATGGGGTTGGCCCGTATCCTTCCTCTGAGCTATCGATCTCCAGCTAGGAAATTGAAAGAGTAGAGCAAACCACTTTCTACAATATGTAAACTGACATCTGCGGAAGATCAAAATCAGGACATGCCAGTGAGGGGGTGTTGTGAAGAAGCGGCTCAGAGGAAGAATACGGTCTTTTCGACGTAACTTTGAGGTTTGAGAAATTAGCAAGTTCCATGCTGCGGTACTGTTTAGTCGAGATTGTCGTTGCGAGCGATCCTAGTGAGAACAGCCAGTCAGAATTGTATCGAAACGATGGTGTAATGGATATCGTGTCGACATCGTTTGACAGGCACATCGCACCAGGAAAGTCGTCTATTGGCACTACTCGCACGACGCCTCTCAACCAAATCGTGCCGGTAAAGTTGTTCATATCAGAAGAGGTGGGCAGGCAACAAACAAGTGGGATCGCGTGTGCTGAACTTTTAAATTGTTCTCATGAGCGGTTAGCGTCTCGATGCGGAAGCGACGCCGGGCCGCCAGGCATGCCAACCACACGGGCCCGGCGCTGCCAACTGTACTCACAAAGTGACTCTATTCAAGACCGACCAATAATAATTACTCAATTATCTCATTTTGCGAAGTAGTTGTTGCTCATGTTTGAAAACGCGACGTACAGTTGGCATCTGAACAAAATGATAGAATGACAATGACGGTGAAACGTCATGCACGTGCATGAAGGTACCTTTGTCATTCACTGCAGCGGTCGGTGGGTGGCTAAGGGGGAGAACAAGTAGAACAAACACACACACAGATGCACACACACTCACACACCACTGTGAAAAATATTTTAGTAATCTTGAAACTTTTTTGTAATTTTGCCATATTTCTGCTGGTTATCTTTGAATAACAAACGGTGTTGTAAATTTGCGATAGCTACTTCTTGCTCATTGCAGTCAATAATTGGTGTCATAAAAACAAGGAAACTTAATCTTTTTTAATTTGTAATCTTACAACATTTTTCATATCAAATTGTCTCTCGCAAAAAAAAAAAATCCATTTTTCACAGTTACACCAGCACGCGCTCGCTTAGAGACGCATGCACCGAACTCACCTGGATGTTCCTGGTGCGCAGGCAGTAGTAGGAGCAGCCGAGGCCGAGAAGCAGCAGCGACAGGAACAGGATGGCACAGATGATGAGCAGGATCTGGAAGCCCTGCAGCGGCGGCTCCAGGGGGATGACGGGGGCGTCAACTCTGCTGGCGACCAAGACGGGGGCGTGTTTAGAGTGTCTCCCTGGCGGCGTGGTCGTTACCGCCGACCGAGGGCGCCACCAGACGTACGCCGCGCGCGCGCGCGACCACCACGGGTGGTGCTTCCGAGGTTTAACAGCCTCTAGCCTCACGCAAATAGAGGTGCGAAAACTTTTCACTGCTTCCAGTGAGGCAGTACCGTTGTTATGCCTCGTGGAGTAGGCGTACACTTCACAGTAAAAATACAATGTCTTAATTTATGAGCGAAAGGGGAAAATTTTAAGGAACTCTCTGCGCAAAATACTCGGACCTAAGGGATTTCTCATCAAAAGATGAGGGAAATTCCCTCATTTTTCGGGGAGACGGTGGTTTTCCCCCTTTCCTCAAAAACTAGACTGTATTACCGTGTTGAAGGAGTAGGTGCAAGTGCGCGCGAAATTTCAAGGAAAGTTTTTCCCTTAATCCGTACAAAATTGCGCGAACCGCAATTCTCACACGTACAGAGTGCGTGACATACAGATTCCTTTTGGCGACCCTCCAATATTTACATTTTGGCGGGGAAGGCGGCCGGGGGCTGCGCGATGGGCGGCGGGTAGCGGCAGACGATGGTGATGACCTCGTCGCCGTCCATCTCCAGCCCGGGGTGGAACCGCACCACGATGTTGTTGGTGAAGACGCGCTGGGGGTCCTTGTCGACGAAGCGAAGAGGGTGGGTTAGAAATTTGGAGCGGCGTACTTCACTATAAAATCTAGAGTACACAGTTTCTTTTTTTTTTCTTGATTTTTCATTATATTTGTTTAAAAAAAATTCTAACTTTATTCATTTTTCTCTGATTATTTTTTGATTTTTTTAAGACTGTACCCTGAATTGTTTTGAGTGAAGTACTCACGATCATTCACAGGGTGCAATAATTGTTTGATTGTCCTCACCTGCCGTGTCCCGCATCCCTTGAGCGGCAGCTCGATGCGGTAGCTGAGCGCCCCCTTGCCGGCCACCTGACATGCCGAGTTCCGGTCGAAGTCGGCGTACACGATGCCGAAGAAGGGCTCGTTGAACTTGAGCTCGGCCTTCATGGAGCCGGCCTCGCAGTTGAGGACCGCCTTGGTGCGGTTCAGGAAGATGACCGGCGAGAGATCGTCGAGCTTCGTGACCTGCGAGCAGAGCACCCCGGGGGGAGGCAAAAGGGCTCAGTCTCACTTCCTCGCTCTGGAAAGTGCAAGTGGTCGACCTAATCGTGCGAGGGAAGAGAACGAGATCGCCCAGGTCTGGAGATGCCGAGAGAACAGCGGCGTGTCCAAACGGCAGACCAAGGACCAGGCAAAACTATTCTGCTGTGATGAGTTGAAAAAATAGATGTAAAACAGTTTGGAATGACTTTGGGGCTTATCACTTACATCATCGAGACCCCTTGGTGTTACTCTACAACCAGAAAATCGTTTCCTTAAAACAAGAAATTCATTTGAAATTAGCATTCGAATCGAGGTACTTTTCGGTAAATAACAAAACAATTTTCTTTGCCATGTTTGAGCAAAGACTTCCTGGATTTAAAGAAACATATTTGTCGTGAAACGAATGAGAATTCTCTTTTACCCAGGAAAATTTGATCCTTTTATTTTTAAAGGAAACGATTTTTAGCTAAATGTCAGTGGTCTGGGACGTTTGTCCTGCTTACCCTCCCGTTGAGCGTGGCCTGGTCAGGCAGCCCCGAGTTGCCGTCATACTCGACGCTGTTGCCCTGCTGGGCGTAGTTGGACTGCGCGAGCGCGGGGCCCGCCAGCAGCGACAGCAGCAGCAGCAGCCGCAGCGGCAGCGACATCTGAAACAGGAGTCGCACCAGCGTGAAATGAAAAATAACGTTCTCGGTTACGAGCAGCAGCTAGCAGGGATTATCGCTGAACGTTACGTGCTCGCGACACTCTCCGGAGCACAAGAAGAGGAGGCCCACAACCTGCCTCGCTCCTTTCTCACGCACGCAAACCTAATCAATTAATCACGTCGTGCACATCCTTACTTCTCCTTTTTTGCTTGTATTCGTTTTGCCGAACGCACGGCGCGCCGCGGTGTGGTGTTTCTTTACGACGTTACGCCCGCGGGCGAATGGCCGTGGTGGTGCTGCGGCCGTGCGGCCGCCGTCCCCGTGGAGCACGACGACGATGACTGCAATCGAGGCGGACGGTCCGCGTCGTCCACGGCTCTGATGGAGCTCCGCGCCTCTGTCTCATCAGCAGCAGCGGCGGCGGCAGCGCGCTGTCCTCAGCCAGCGCCACCACCTGGTGGCTGCGCTATGGCCAGTGACCCGGCCGCCGCCGCCGCCGCCGCCGCCGCCTTATGCAATAGCAGCCCAGCCCGCCTCTCTGACGGGCGCCCTGGCCGCACTGTGATCGAGCATGCGCGGCCATAAGAGCTGGACGTGTCGCCTTGGAGCAGAACCCGGTCAGGACCACCACTATACACTGTGAACACCAGGGTAGGACTCCGCAACTGGGGCTGGCGTTTTGGGCGATTTCTAAGTCCAAAAGCTTTCCCGGAAAAAAGTCGAAAGTTTTCCAGAAAAATTTGGAAATAATTGGAATACTTAAAAAAAAAGATTGGAGAAATAAAAATTCTCGCGAAAAAATTTAGATATTGTAGTGTAAAGCAATAATGTTGATGCCACAGAGGCTACTAAAGCAGGCCACCCTTCAAAAATGTCTTAGTCCTACATATTGTAAGGTACGCAAGAATACTGTACAAAATCGGCAGTATCAGTGAGAAAGTCGGTCACACCAAAACACACAAATGAGAATCAATGAAAACAAGGGAGGAGAGAGGTCAGTGGCCACCTGCTGGGTGAAAGGACGAGAACACGGCCACTTTGCTCCGCCAATCAGTATGTCCCCCTCTTTCATCCACTTTAGCTCTCTAGCGGCGGCAGCGAAGGCAAGTGTTTGGGTCGGCCAGGTTGGGTTGAGTCGCGGCCCTAAATCGGTGTATAAAGGGGCGGGAGAGCACGGCGAATGTGGAGCAGGTGGATCACGGCTGCGGGGGCCAGGGG